TAAACATACCTAACAGAAAAGAATTTTAAATTAATTAATTTTTAAATTATATGATTTAAACAGTTTATATCTACGAAATATCGCCACGAAATAACTTATAAACATTTAAATAATCAACTAATAATATTTATGTGTAATTACATTCCCAAAAATATATACAAATACCGTATTAATGTCATTAATACCGTATTTTTAATGTTCAATAAGCGATTCACCTACAAATTCAATATTGACCTGGCAATAGCACTAAAATCCGGTGTTTCAAGGCTATATGACGCTGCCCTTACAGGACCGTTTGTAGTTTATTATTTATGCCGCGTTTGAGAATCCACATCGGATGCATCTGAAATGTAGTAAGTAGTAAATCTTTGATCACGTGATTCAGTATACGTAAATGTAATGGGACAGATGTGTCCGATGTTGATAAAAAACGCTCGAGATGTAAAAAATGCATCCGATGTGGATTCTCAAACGCGGCATTAATTACACGATGAAAGTGGCATTTTATTTTTAGTTTTGTGTAGTGTTTAGTCAAATCCTAGGTACAATAAAAGACATTTTTACATTGGCTAATGAAAATGTAATCAATGTATTAGGCAGCTGTTATATTTATTACAAGATTTATGTCTGCAAATCTAAACCTACCTAAGAATTATAATTATGTAAATAGAGATCTGTATATTTATATACAGGCTGCCCAGCGACGGGGAGACATTATCGATATCGGTTTTAAGGCATTTTAAAACATAAACCCGATCTCAACAATCTTAGGAACTCTTCTGTCACTCGATATTTTAATCGGTACTTCCTCTTCGTTTTTTGGCTGGCACAACAATTATTTACATTTCTTCATTCCTTACGGCGTTCGAACCAGTAAGGTTTAAAGAAATTTAAAAAAAAAACCTACTTTAAAAATAAAGATGTTAATGATTTTCTTATGGATCCCATCTTCAGATCTTGACTTAATGTATATAAAACTGTTTCCTTTTCTAACAAAAAAAATCCTAGAAATCGGGCAACGTGGTAAAGAATTATCGCTCAACATACATAAAAAAATATTTCAACGAATTGAGAATATCCTACCATTTTGAAGTATGTTAAAAAAAAATTATTAATAAAGTGAAAAGTAGGGCATGCACATATATTATAAAGTATATAAAATGATAGATAAATCCAGTTTAGAAAGTATTATAAATAAACTGTGGAAATATCGAGAATCTCGATTTTGATTCGGAAAAATATTCTACGCAATTTAGTATGAAAGCTGATCAAAATGAAACACAAACTGTTATTGACAACTTTCTTCAAACATTTTCTATTTTTCCGAAAACTAACTAGATAGTTCGAAAATCATTTCCTTCGTTAAAACGCCTCTTGTTCCGAAAAAGGTACACGCCTGTCAACATTCATCGTCCATTAAAAAAGTGGTAGATACAAAACGCTTCGTATTGTAAGGCCAAAATATATTTAGAAATCGAAATATTCATATAAACAAAAAAATCATATGAGTGAGATAACTACCAAATTAATGATTTACAAGTTTATTCCTATTATTTATAAAATAGGTGCAATGTGCTGGTGTGGAATGTTATCATCGACTAAAAACTTTAAATCTTTGTATTAAATTGATCGAAAACAAACTATAAATTGGTTTAGGCTATATAGAATGTTTCTAGTAAGTAGCAACTAATTTTTATTATGGAACCGAAAGACCCTTTTAAAAGGGTTCAAAATTAAAATAAAATATGTACCAAGTAAATGTAGTAGTATTTTTTAATTTTTTAATTTATATTGAAAATGGTAACATGAAAGGTTTTGTCTAACGACTCATAGTCTCGGCTGACAAAATGTAAAAAAATATCGAACATAATATTCCTGTGCCCTATTTTGCACTCCCCAGATTAAATTTAGTTGTAGCAAATTATATTATCAAATAAGATGTCAAATCACAAGCAAAATCTCGTGACTACAGTACTAATGATTGCCTGTTTGGAAAAGTACCTTTGTTTGTAAATATTTATATGCATAGTTATATTTAAATGCGCGAGTGTAATGTTAAGTATAAACAAAATCCGCCCATTATGTATATACGTTTAGTTACCGACCCTAGTAGATAGGCAATTTGTTATTGTTTTAAGTTTTACCGTAGGCAGAGAGAAAATCAATATTAGGATAAATGGTCCAGCTCCTTTCTGGTTACGTAGGTACCTAAAAAGTATTTTAGTTTTTGGTTAAGTAATTAATTATTGTAACAGTGATTTTCTTGTGATAGTACCTAATTTAGATTGTGGATTAAAGTTTTTGTATATAATTTCGCTGTTTAATAATAAACATAGTCAAAACCGGAGCACGTGGTTTTTCTGGAAAGTATTTTTAAAATCACAAGCAAAATCTCATGACTACTGTACGAATGATTGCCGAAAATTAACTAATTCATATTTTATGCCATATCTTTCTTAATAAGGACTGTCAGAACCATATTTACCTTAACTTGAAATTTTTTTAATCGTTTTTTGTATAGAATCATCTCTAAAAATGTATGATTGAAATATCGTGCGAACTATTTGTTCGATCAATAAAAAACTTGCACCGGTCCTGTTCGCGCCAGCACCGTTATACGCATGAGCTCCGACACACTATTTTCTCCTTATGGTTTCATTTTTAATATATGGAATCGGCTTTCTATACTATTTCTATGTTGTAAAGGCACAGCTGATAACGTTTTACTAGCTTATATTTTTGAAGAAATATTTTTATTTTCTAGGATTAGAATATTGTTAAGGGATAAATCTAAGTTTCTCTTAGACCAATTTTTAATTTAATTTTCCTATGAAGCACAAAATTATGTCGTAAAAATCCTCATTTTTCGACATTTTAGGAACTCTGTCAAAACAACACCTGAAAAAAATTCAAAATTTTGTTCTAAGATAAACCTTTATAATTGTTTTTTCTAGACATCCCAAAAATATTTTTTATTAAGTATTGAAAAATGAGGCTGTAATCTGTTATGAGCCGACTCTCTACATTTGTGTCAAAACTCGGGCGTTAGATTCCCCTTAATCTGTTTTTGAGCTTTCTTTTTTTTACATATTCAGCAGTACGTGCAAAAAACAAAAAATGTCTCAGACAAATTAAAGCGGTACATCTCAAATATAATATAACCATAATAAATAATGTGGAAAAATCATGTTTTCAGTTTTTAGTAAATAAAATTTGTTTTCAAATATATGATTTACCCCTCATCTCCAATATACAGGAAGAGATTACACACTTTACAGATATTTTGCATTAATTATCCTGAAAACTAGCTGTTTCGTTATTAACTCTGATGCACCTAAATCAATATACACAATGTTATTTTTTTGTATAACCTCATAACCATTCTAATTACATCCTGTAACATTTACTTTACGGAAGGGTAAACGAACCGACAACGCTTTGCAATAAGCGACCCTTCAAGACGAGTCTTGTTAATGATGTAATAAAAAAAGGTTTTAAGACCTATAAAATTTTTATTCTTCTGCAATAAAATCTGTTGATTTTGAGGATGCTTATCTTATCACAAAATTTAATGTGAACTACAAGAAAAAACATTTCAGTTTTTATTTTTCAATTTTGTAATATTGTCGCAATAAAAGAGAGTGCATAAAAAACACATTGTGTCAAAGAAGATCCTCGTAAATTTTCTTCTATTGGGAGGTTTTTCAATGTAAATATTGAGTTGTAAAGGCAACAACTCGAAGGAAATATAAACAGTGACAGCAGGCCGAGACATCATAACAAGAGCAGCGAAGCTATTTAAAAAATCTACGAACGAGGGCAGTTCAGAAAAGTCTGATATGTCCAATACAATTACTGTTCTGTCTAGTTATTACAGGCCTTTTCTGGTGTAAATTTTGAACTAAATATATACATTTTCCACATACATCTTACTCGAAACATTTTTTTATATTCATATTTAAATTCATTGCCAACAAAAATACTGAAAAAATTAAATTTTACAGTTTTACTCAAATTTTTCCATTGCTGTCCATTTTAGAGACATTATGTTTAAAACACGGATTATTAAGATCAATATGACAAACAACTTTTAGTACCTACAACAATTTTCTTAAAAATTAAATATTTGCATTTGTTGTCAAATTTCTCGAATATCGACCATTTTAGGAAAATTATGTATTTAACAAAAATTATAAAGAATTAAAAGTAACTTTTATTTAAAGAATTTTCTTCTTCAGACGTAAATAACAGATATATTCCATAAAATATAAAAACGACCCCCTATAAAGTACCCCCCAGATTTTCCAACTCTATTATATCGTAGCATGATAAAGCCCAAATTTAAAATTTGGTCTTTTTGACTTTTCCTCAAAATTGGTAATTTAAACTTATTCTCAAATATCTCGAATACGGTCCATTTTAGAAAAATTATGTATATAGCAAGAATTATAGAGAATTATATCATAAACAACTTTTATTTAAATAATTTTCCTAAAAGTTTGAATTTTTTAAAATTTTGTCAAATTTCTCGAATATAGACCTTTTAGGAAAATTTTATATAGGAAAAAGTTATAGAGTATAAGATTAGAACTAACTTTTATTTGAAAAAGTTTCTTCTCCAAACGTAAATAACAGATATCGTCGGCGTTCTGGCAAAAGTCATTAAGTCCAAAATTGGAGTTTTGAGAAAAAAGGGTTTAAATTTACAACTTTGGATGAAAATTTCATTTTGCTTAACTGAATCATATTAAGGTCATAATAATATTTGACTGAGAAGTACTTTTGTAGGAGTATTAGAAAAAAACTTTCGAAAAGTGCCTATCGCTTGGAAATCGACATTTGATGGACTTGGTGATTTTTGCCAACTTAGAAAATATACAAAAACAGTATAGTTAAAATATCTGTTATACTTGTTTAAATTGAAACGTCCATTTACGAATGAAAGAAATTTATTTCCAAATGATTTTAACATTTTAACATAAAATAACAAATAAAACTTTTTAGTCTTCCTCGCTTTCGCTGTCTACACTTGGTTCAGCATTTCGATTTTTAACGGTTGTTGACGTTAGCAATAATAAATACCATTGATGAAATTCTGAAGGTATAGCTTCGTTAGTACACAGCTTCTTAAAGTCGTTGTATTTTTGGATTGAAATAGGCAGCATTGCTGAATAAGTCTTGTTAAGCTCGAATGCTGATGTGGAAGGTCTACCTCGCCCGCTGATATTTATGCAAAGATAATCATCTGAATGGTTGTATTTGTATTTGACTACACCTGGGTTATCCTTTTCAATACGAAAGCATTTTACTTGTAGCCACTTCACTTTTGACCATTCAGTGTTAACTGTTCTGTTTTTTAAAACAGCTTGGGAAATAACTTTGAAATCAAAAAAATCAGAATACCTCAGTTCTTGAACAATGTAAGGATCATTTTTCTTTTTTTCCCCTTTTAGATCGGGCCATTTTAAAAATATTTATCCAGTCGTTCATTGTATAAACTGCCAAATATCTCTTTTGTTTTTCTATGGCACTGTTCATGCTGTCGCACTCCATCATGGAATGTCCAGATTCAAGAAACTTTTGTTCGATGGTAACAATCTGACTGTTTTGAAAATGAACAAAGTAATACAACATCGCAAGAACATTTTAATTCCTATTTTGCCCACCACATGTATCAGAGAAAAATGAAACCTCTGTAACATGATCGGGCAAATTATGTAGGTACCGGTATAAACATGTTGCAATCTCCAAACTACCTCGAGACCATTAAATTCAGTCCAAGTATAGCAGAACGCATTGTTAGGTAGAGCACCTTCGTAAATTGTTAAATTGTAACCGCACAATTTTCTGCTATAATACATTGGTGATGCATCACTGCTTGGTATCTGGAGGACGCTTTGGAGGTCAAATGTCGCAGTTACAAAATGTGGTTCTCTTTTTCTGTCTTTTTGGAATTATTGGCATCAGTTTTGCGATTTTTATGATCAAGATACAGGGACTCAACTGCAGTTTTCTAATCGCCTCTAGCTGTTTGGAACCTCGTGCAAAGAGAGCACTGATCTTTGCGTGGCTTGGAATGAGAGTCTGTTAAAGGAAAACTTTCAATATGATTTTTAATAATAGTTTTTTCTTCTTGAGAAATTTTATTGGATGGAACATGTCGGCCCCGCTTGTCATCTCCTTGATAAAGCCCCGAAGTTTCATTTTTATTTTCAAAGGCTTTATTGAGTGGTCCATTGCTTATAGAAAGGGTTTTTAGAAAAAAAATCTGACATACTCTTGTTGGTGCCCCGCCTTTTAAGAAATAAAACTATTTTGCATAACTTCGGGGTTTAGCATGTTCTTTCCGGTGACGCTGTCTTTGAGGTATATTGGCTTTGACATTTTTCAGAATAAAATCTTTTTTTCGGGAGTAGGATTCTAATGGCCAATAGCTAGAACATAGCTCATTCCTCTCTGCATCGCTAAATTTTATGGAGCACTTAAACCGACAACTGTTGCAATTCACATATTGAGGAGCTTTGGCGGGCTTTGTTCCCTTTTTGGTAGTGTAGGGTTGTCCAAGATTTCTACATTTTTTCGTCAAATTTCGATTCCACTTTCTATCATCTGCTTTGTACCAACGACTCCTATCAGGATTTTTTCTTTTGGAGCTAACAAATATCTGGATGTTATAAATACTTTTTTAATTCAATTTACCTTCAGTGTCTTCGGACGTGTCAGAATTATTGTCATCTTCTATATTCGGATCATACTCTTCGTCATCTTCATCGCTAGCCGCAAACGGATCTTCTTCGTCCTATAATAAAAAAATCTTTAAATTAGTCATTTTTGTTACCAGAAATAATACCTTAGACAGTGTAAAATTGAAAAGGTCTATGAATTTTTCTAATATACTTCGAAAAAAAAAAGATTGATGTATACCTGATCTTCTAACACACCTTCTTCCGGCGAATTTTTGTTGCTCATAAGATCTAACTCATAACTCGAGCCAACGTGAGATTCTGGTACAGTCTAGAAAAAGCAATTCAATAAATACCTAAACATTTTTATTTTTAATTAAATTAAAAACTAACCTGTTATTGTAATATCTATTTTTCCAGTAAACTGTTGTACAGCTATGCAAAGTAACAACTTGTTGCACAATAACATTGGGTTTTTAAGCTTAAATTCTCATTATTCAGTTGAACGAGTGTTAAAATACGTTTACCTCTACAATCCTGCATTTTAACTATTAGGAAATACACACATGTTGTATCGCAAACCACAGAAAGAGGACATAAACAATCAAATATAACCTCAAAATACCCAAACAAATAAATCACTTAAGTCCTTTTTGCGATAGCCTATTCCAGCCAAAAGTCATTAAGTCCACTTAGTGATTTCTGCCTGGCAACAAAATAACTTTTTGCGACTTAGGTAGTTTTGACATTCTGCAACCAGGTATACATATTAGTGCTGGACTTAATGAATTTTGCCAGTTCAAAAAAGCGAAAATTTCAACACGGTTTATGGACTTAACTAAAAATTGACAAAAATGGACTTAATGACTTTTGCCAGAACGCCGACGATATATTCTATGAAATATAAAAACGACCCTTATAAAGTACCCCCAGATGTTCCAACTCCAAAATCTAAGTTTGAAATTTGATGTTTTTCTCTTTATCCATTCTTGAGTTTTCTTCATAATTTACACTTTTTCTCAAATATCTCGGAGACATTCCATTTTAGAGAAATTATGTATAGAATAAGAATTATAGAGAATAATATCACAAACAACTTTTTTTAAACAATTTACTTAAAAATTTGAAATTTTACATTTTGTCAAATTTTTCGAATACGGACCATTTACAAAAAAAATGCATAAAACATAAATTATATAGAATAGTATTAGAAGTAACTTTTATTTGAAGAATTTTTTTTCTAAACCACAATAACAGATATATTCAATAAAATATAAAAGCGACCTGGGGAGATGTTTCGACTCTGTCCAAAATCTAATCAGTTTACCTCAGGCTGTATCAAAATCCTTCTGTGAATCGTTTTCGAAAAAATGTATACGATGGTATTCACGAACATTGTCCAGGTTATACAGTAGATAAAACGACAAAATGTTCGTTATTGTAAGAAAACTGTAATAGTGTCCTATTGGAAAAAAAACGTTGTTTGGTGTAGAAGATATTAAAAGAAACTCGTAGATTTCTCAACATTTATTATGTAGACGCACCCTTGGTTAATAAAGGGTACACTGTTAGAAAATAATTGCAATTCTAGAGGTGCTTTCTTACAAAGGCAATTTACGGGATTTAAATCACCTCGAAGGCGGCCCTATGAAGAGGGCAGCCGTGGCCCCCGAGATTAAAATAAAATTAAAAAAAAATGCTTAAAAGGGAATGGCTAACTTCAATGGCTAACTTCAATGGCACCCTCCAAAAATTCGGCCTGAAACTAAAGAACGTCGTTTTATAATTACCCATATTGGCAGTGATACCGTATTTGTTGAAGGTGGGTTTAATATGTTTGAATTACCAAACAATTAAGTTTTCTAATTGTATTTTGTTCTCATGGAAACAATCCATAAATAAAAAAGATTATGAATTTATTTAATATATAAAATTGTCTACTGCACCAGCTCGCATCAAAGCTGATAAGTAACTTTGGTCAAATGGGATAGGAGTATTTTTTTGAAGATCCTGTTTCTCTAAACTCTGTTATATGTTAAATGTTTTTTTTTCGCCTATTAGCCTAACTACGAATTACGTTCCTCCACAAGTTTAATGCTCCCTCCAGATTAACACTGAATATTATTTACATGGCGACAAACTTACATGTTCAGACTAGCGTGAATTTTACCGCTTAGAATTAGTATTAATTAGTATAACTAATTCGCTGCTAATTTTTTTTTTCACAAATTCACGCCAAATATTGGCGTTGGTCTGGGGAAGCTTTTACTAGTTATCCAGTTCCCGTGAATTGCTTCCTCCCTTTCTGTACATGAAAGCAAAGTTGACATTGTCACTTATCCATTTTCAAATTAAAGTTAACTCTGTCGAGATACCATCCAAATTTTAAATCAATAGATTTATTGTCTATACTTACATGCTGCTAACAGTATTTATCGAATTCACAGTTCAGTGGTGTACTTAGTAAAGTAACCTTCCAAAACTTTATCTTTATTAAGTGTATTGCGATTGAGTCTGTTTTTCTGTAGAAATTATAAACTGTTATACAGATTGATGCTCGTAGAACTTCGTTTAGAATAGCAGTGAAGTTGATGAGTGTGATACGTTTAGATAATTTGTAATATACTCCTTATTATAAAATTGTTGATCCTACAGCCAGTCACATATTTCATCACGCGATATCTCATCACGGACAATTCATCCCGGCAGCAGTTCATCACTACGACATTTCGTCGCTGCGGCACTTCATCACATCCTATTTCATCACATCCATTTGCAAAATATACAATAAAAAAATATTCGTGCAAATATGCAAAGAAAACAGTCAAAATATGTCCTTATGAATAAATAAACATTTTTTCCTACGACGACTTAGGAAAGTGACACATATCACTCTATATAGTCCTATGGAAAGTGCCCTATATCACACGCGTATGAATAAGAATTTACTTTCCACCCGAGTGAGAATATGTTACTTTCCGCAGTAGTTGTCACAAAATGTCAAACACCTAATTTCTATTTTAATCTATGTTATGTCCATATTAATACTAAAATCGATATGATTGTTAAATTATTGAAATTGTTGTAAATTAGATCCTAGATATTTATCTTTAACAATTATTATTAAAATAATTTTAAAATAATGTTTGCTCTTTATTCTGGTTAAATACATAACCGATTAGATCATTCAATTGACACAAGGGCTATTAGCGCAGGTCACTTTGATTACTATACGAGGCAAGAGAGAGGTCCGACACGCCCAACATAGGGCGCGGCCATTTTGAACCCTGTGACACAGTTTACAGCTAAAGAATCAGATCGCTCACTCTGCGTCGGCACTTTGGATCTCAATGTTTCAGTTTATACACTGTGCAACTCGGATAATACAATATATGACAACCGCCTATAATAAAACAGCAGTCTTCTGCGTATCCTGAATTTGTATCCCCGGAGTGGATGTTATTTTGGAACTTTCAACTGGTCCGAGTGAGCTAACTGATTCTTTAGCAATAAACTGTGACTTCAAAAATAATATTCACTGATACTGACAGCAGCAAGCAAAATATCAGGTGCGTTTTAATCATCCGCTTCTGCTTCCGGAATTGTCGGTTTAGTCGTTTTAACCTGTCAGATTAAAACAAGAAAACCGACAATTCCGAAACAGAAGCGGATGATTAAAACGCACCTATTAAAAATATTGCGCCAAGATGTAGGCAACATGTAATAAGGGTTCAAAATGGCGGAGTTTTCTATCTCCTTTTAAAAGGCACTCAGAAAGCTGCGCAGTGCGACCATTCTCCGTATAGTAAAAGAAAATCAAAGTATGTGGCGCAGCTGGTTAGGACGTCGAACTTATCAACTTTGCCATTTTTCGACCGCGTTCAAATCCTGGCGGGGCAGAATTTTTTTTTTGTTTTTTTTTTTAATTTTTTTTTTTTTTAGTTTTTTTTTGTTTAGAAAATAAATGAAAACTGAATAAATACGATTATTGTTGATTATTTTTTTAAATACATTTGAATTATTATAGTAATAATAACCTTGGTTTTACATTTTTTTGATGACATTATTTTGTGGTCTTAGGAAAAATATTGTATATCACTTGTGTCAAAAGTAATTTTCCACACTCGTGTGAAAAATGTCACTTTCCACACTCGTAATGTAATATACTATTTTGTATACAAAAAAATGTTCAGTGCGTTCGGGACTACGTTCTCGCTAAGCAAATTGTTTTTTGCGCACTCCGTTCAAGTAGTAGGTACGCGGTTTAAGCACATAAGATACAAAAAAATAAGAATTCATAATTATGTTAATTTTAGTTAGAAACGGATTATAAAAGGTTCACAAATACCTACATTTACAACTGGATGATTTCTAGTTAGTCGATTATCTTTTTCAGAACTATAGGCCGAAATCTCGAATCTATTTAGTATTGTTTTTATCGTTCTTAATGTGTTGAGTGTAATATAAGAATGTTTTAACTGTAAAATAGCAAGATGGAAAATGAAAGAGTTTCTTTCGGGTCAACGTCTAGATGAGGTCAGACACTGACAGACTTCTAAAAATATTACACATTGACGCTGCATAAAGCATCAAGTTGCAAAATGTAAGTCAGTAAAGCATTCTAATGGTCACACGCTTTTTCAACCCTTGGCCAATAAAGCCATTGCAGAAATAAAAATACTGATGGGAAATCTTGGTTTTGACAGTAAAGCCAGCTATGGCTGAAGAAACAGATAATTTCTCAGATTGAACCAAAGTGTGCTTGCGAAATTAATCAACTCTAACACAAACTCTACAAAGAAGTAGTAAAGATGCAATCTCTACGCCTGTCTCCAAGGATATTATTTGGTTCTGAAAGAGAAGACAATAAGAAAATAATTATATAAACGACTTGTTAAGATTTTTGCAACGAAAAACCTGCAGGATATCTGATGGGATTTTGAAGTAGTTCCAGAATTGTTCTTTTAACTGTATAGCATCCACGTGCAGGAAGATAGTACTTCATGACTTAGGGCTTTAAAGAATTTAATAACAGAAGCACGAATTTTCACTCATTTCGGGATGGCAACAATGAACTGCTTCCAAACAGTATTTCAAGCCGTTTTAAAAAAAGTTGGGGGCTCGGATTAAAAAATATGTATGAGAGTAACACAGATGACCTAGCGACAAATATAAAAATAGCATGTGCCTTATCGTTGCTTCCCGTGAACGAAGTTGAAGATGCATTTATTGAAATGACAGAAATGTTCTCCGAAGACTGCCAGGATATAGAAGGATTAATCACCTATTTTGACATTACATTTATTCGTGGTCGCCAGCTACGTACAGGAA